TACTTTTGGAGGATGGGCTTGTAGGTCCCCTCCACAGCTTGCTGTCCTATGCTGCCTTGGGACTCTGCTGCCAAAATTCCAGTGCAGTGCCCCTCAGCCACCCCAGGTGTGGCTCAGCGGCCCAGGTACAGCTTAGGCTGCTGCTCTGGAAGGTACAAGCAGCAGGCCTTGGTGGTGTCCACATAGTGCTGACTCTGAAGACATGTAGAATGCAAGAGTAGTGGAGTCATGGCGGCCTCTACCTAGATTTCAAAGGATGTTGCAGGCAATGTGGAAGCCCAGGCAGGAAATTGTCACAGGAACAAAGCCACTGCAGGAAGTTACTGCTACAACAATGCCTAGTGGACCCTGAGAGCAAAGCCACCACAGAGAGTTCCCACAAGGGCAATGCCTAGTGTGGCCATGGAAGTGGGACTACCCCTGAGACCTTAGAACTGTAGAACTGTAGAGCTACCAGCATGCAACTCCAGCTTGAGAAATCTGCAGGCACTAGACTCCAACCCATGAGAGCTGCTGGGTGGAGGGGGTCAGTGTGGCAAAGCCACAGGAGAGGGGCCTCTTGAGGCCTTGGGGGCCCAACCCCCACCCTAGTGTGCCCAGGATGCAGGACATGAAGTCAAAGGAGATGATTTTCTGGCTTTAAGACTTAATGTTGTTTTCCCTATTGGGTTTTGGACTTACTTGGGACTAGTTATTCTTGTCTTGCCTATTTCTCCCTTTTCAAATGGGAGTATTTATTTTATGCCTGTCCCACATGTGTTTTGGAAGTAGTTACTTGTTTTGATTTCACTGGCTCACAGCTGGAAGGAAATTTGCCTCAGGATGAATCCTGCCTTGAGTCTCACTCATGTAAGATTTAGACAAGACTCTGGACTTTAGACTTTGGAGTTGGTGCTGGAAAGAGTTAAGACTTTGGGGCTACTGAGATGTAATGAAGGTATTTGCAAGTGAGAAGGACACAAATTTGGGGGGCCAGGGGTGAAATGATATGTTTTAAAAATGTCCCCCCAAATTCATGTGTTGAAAACTTGATCCTTAATGTAACAATGCTGAAAGGTAGGATATTTGAGGAATGACTGAGTCATGAGAGCTCTGCCCTTGTGAATGGATTGGTGTTGTGTTAGGTTTGTTCCAGGTGGGAACTTGAAAAGTATGTATGGGACAGAATGCGGTTAATGGAAAACTGAGGTTTGTGAATCAATAGCCTCAGGAGTCTGGGGAGTCCTATCCCCCCTGATAAGGATGGAACTACCCCGTCCCTTATCTCTACAGGATGAGACTGACCCAGGGGTCCCAGAAACTGGTTGTTTGGAAAAAAAAAAATTTTATTGCAGCGGTTGTTCTGGCCCAGGTACTCACTTCCCCTAAAAAACTCTCTATAAAACCCAAGGCTTTCCCCTCCCTCAGTGTGGATGCTCTTCGGCCTCCACCCATCTGCCCCCAGATGCCCAAAATAAACAGCATTTTGCTACACATGAGGCCTCATGTGTGTGTGTGTGTGTGTGTGTGTGTATGTGTGTGTGTGTGTGTGTCTCTCTCTCCCCCTGCCCCCGGACCTAACAGTTGTAAAAATATTTTAAAAAGTCAAAAAATGCAAATGAAACCATAAGACAAAGAAATATTGAGAAAATTTCAGGAGGGAGGGGTAAATTTGTCAGAAGCCAAAAATATAAATCACTGCAGTTAAGCGGAGCTTCTTAGCAATGAGGATTATATCTTTTCCTTTTCTGTGTATTGCACAGAGGTTCCTATATAAAAAAGAGGCACCCCATTCCTGCCAACATTATATTTGTAAAAAGAACTTTTCATGTGAGATCTATATAAGTGACATTGAGTAACATAGAAGATAGTGTAATTTATTACGTTGATATTTTGTCACTGAAGCTAAGATCTGACTTAGAATTTTGCCCAATATGTTTATGTAGCCATTTCACCTTTGTTTTAGAATCTAGGCAGCAAGTATAATTATTCATATTGTGAAAATGTTTCTTTAAATAGTATCCTAGGGGAATGATAGAAATAGAAAACTATCATTTGGCAAGAACTACAGTAATAATTGTAACAGATAAGAATTTTTTTTTTTTTTTTTTGAGACAGTCTCACTTTGTTGCTGGGGCTAGAGTGCCCTGGCATCAGCCTAGCTCACAGCAATCTCAAACTCCTGGGCTCGAGCTATCCTTCTGCCTCAGCTTCCCGTGTAGCTGGGACTGCAGGCATGTGCCACCATGCCCGGCTAATTTTTTCTATATATTTTTAGTTGTCCAGCCAATTTCTTTCTATTTTTGGTAGAGACGGGGTCTCGCTCTTGCTCAGGCTGGTCTCAAACTCCTGAGCTCAAACGATCCTCCCGCCTCAGCCTCCCAGAGTGCTAGGATTACAGGCGTGAGCCACCAAGCCCAGCCCAGATAAGAATCTTGATCGTTGTTAAAATCTATGGGGAAAACTATGACAAGAAATAGAATATTTACTGTCTCATAGTGTTAGGTAGGTAGTGAGGTACCTGGGCTTTCCTTGGTGCTGCCCTGCCTTGATCCCGCTCTGAGTAATTACCACACCTGGAGGAAGGAGGAATGCCCTGTTAATCTGCAAAAGAATGAAGGGAATTCCCCAGCCTGAGGGCCAGAGAGTCCAGGCACAATAGGGTCTAGGAAAAAAACTAGAGTAACCTAAGGCTAATTATTATCATGTCATTAACTGTCCATCAAAGTGGTCCAATGGTGACATTTGAACCACAAGGAGGGCCCAATCCAGACATCACAAAACAGGACCCCAGAACATAACCAGGGCCTCTTGTTATAACAGGGGGCCCCGTTCATCATCTGTGGCAAATGTGTCTTGCTCTTGCTCTCTGTAAACCCATCTTGCTCTTCCTCAATAAACTTCCTTTTGTGCTGGCTTCCTTTTGTGTTTGGTCATTCTTTGGCCAAGAGAACACCAAGAACAGAGAACAGACTGCAAATCCGACAATAGTACCTCCCCACAAGATACTCATTAATTACAAAGGAAAAACAATAATTCTACAATGGAGAAAACTGGCGAACACAACCATAACCTTGGGATCAAGGTTAGCATCATGAGAAAAGAGACATATCAACAATATGTACCTCCTGATATGCAGGGAGAAAAACACAACTCTTCTGCAATATTCTTTCCAAAAATGTATAACCACAATCTAATCATTAGAAAGTATTGGACAAGCTCAACTGAGGGACATTCTGCAAAATAACAGACTGAGGAACTGTTTCAGATTGGTGCACATTAAGGAAATAAGGCAACTAAATGCAGTATGGAATTCTGGATTGGATGCTGGACCAAAAATAAATAAATAAATAATGGGAGTTAATGAATAAATTTGAATAATGGCTATAATTAGCTAATAGCATTGTATCAATGTTAATTTTATGGCTTCGATAATTGCACTATGGTTATGTAAGAAGTTAATATTAGAAGTTCATGGTCTCTAATATTAATAAAGGTATACAGATTCCATGTATACTACATTTGCAACTATTTTGTAAGTTTAAATTATTTCAAAATCAAAAGTAAAAGAAAAAAAGCATTTTGAGATTGCTTAAGACTCTGGCCAACATTTACTAGATATGACGGAATTCAGCATTTATTAAAAGACCTGGGCTGAAAAAATGTTAAAGGTGAATGTCGCCAACTGGACAACTTACCAACTTAAGTAGAGTACTCATAAAGTATCTGTTTTTGGTAGCATTGCAGCTCATTGACCTGCCACAATGAGTTAGCTGCCAAATGCATCCTCCTAAAGCTGAGGAATTACAACCCAGGACAGTGAAAGCACTTCCAAGTGAGAGAGGTGGATTGGTGTATCAATGACGGGTATGAAGTGTAGACAGATACCTACTAATTCTAATTTCAAAATTGGAATGACAAGACAAGTGACTGTACACAGTATAGATCAGTGAAGTCCCAGAGAAAAATCTTACACAGATTATTAAAAGAGTACTTTTGTTGTGTGTAGAAGATAAAGCAATAATCAGTAGACTCAACGAAGTTCATAAGTTATAAATCATCTTTGACTCAATTTTCTTCCTATTAATATATACAGAGAATGGACAGATGGGCTTGAGTAAGATAACTAGTAAATTCTTTTGTGATATTTTGGGGGAATAAAAGAAAATATTGGCAGAACACATGACTAATTACATTTTTTTTTTTTTTTTTTATAAAAGAGAGACTTAAGAGATGCCTTTTGTTTGGTTAGTTTAATTACTGACTGAAATGCCATGGTTAATGGGTTAGTATCACTCTGGAAGACATTTCAAAGGACTTTTTCCTCAGCCAAGTTGTATGAACAGAAAATTCATCAATGACATATCGGACAGAAATTCAATGATGCAGTGAACACCTGCCAAAATCACAAAATCTCTCTGCCACATGATCCCCAGTCTCATGAACACAACTTACTGAGAGAGAGAAGGGTGTCTGATGCAAAGATAGCCACCTCTATGCTCTCAGTGACTGGCCAAACCAATGAGGTTCCTTCTAGAGAGCTGAAAGATTTGATCATGTTAAGTCCATTTTTCTCTAGCATCTCCTCTTACTACTTCCCTCACCTAGCTTGACCATGTGTGCCCCTAGACTTTGAAATTAAATTTCCTACAGCTGCCCCAAAGCAGCAGACATTTCATGCTCCTGGGTATTTGTACATGTTTTTGAACTGCATAGAGAGCCTGCTCCTCATAGTATTAATTTATCTTATCAGTCAATCAATAACCACACATAAAATGTTGGCCATCTATACAAGATACTGCAATTTACTGAGATAAAATCTATCATAGATTTCTAAAAAGTTTTATGCCAACAAATTGGTAGTCTGTAATTTTGAGAATATAAAAAAAATCACCTATTAAAATATGGAGTATTAAGAATTATTTGACTTTACTATTCCTTGATTAATTTAGGGAGCATGCACTTACAAATTGCAACCTTGTAATGCTTACAAGAATAATAAAGATGAAAAACAAACTTACCAGCACTTGGGTAACCAGGCGTAGAAGGATCTCCTCCTGGATTCAGTGACACCATGAAAGTATCATGGCTAAGATTTGCAGTCTTTGGTAAATCACAAGGATCAATATATAGAAGGACACCTCCAAATCCAGCCTTTTCCAATAAGGAAAGCTAAGGGAGGGGAACAATCTATTAAAAACATTATCATACACATTAAAAGTTCATATACTGCTATTTCATGAATGTGGCTGTGATAGGATGACTTTTTTTTTCTTTTCAAATACAAAAAACACTTCAGATTTTCAAATTATCAAGTCCAGTCAGAGGGCTTTTCTACTTGCCTCTACCTTTTTTCCTCTACCTCTACAATATTTAAGCAGCATTCCCATAATGTTTATATTTAATTTTGGCTGTCTGTTTATGGAATTTTTCACTGCATTTTTTAATTGTCTAAATAGATTTGAACTTTCTACGTTTTGGAATTAACAGAGGATCTACCACACACAAGGCTCTGCTTTTAAAAGGAGAGTTTTTTCTGACCAATAATATGTCCTTCCTTATAGCAGATATCATCTGCAGAATTGTGATATGTTAATATTTCCTCCAGGGCTGAGCCTGTCATACCAGTTGTTAAAATTCTGAAATACTTTCACACTGTTTGGAAAATAGCCACTGTCCTGAACCTCCCGAGGGTCGTCAGTATACTAGTCATCTTCATCTCTGCCCATGATGCCCCAGCCAGAACTTTCAGATACAGCAACTGAGGGGGTTACATTACACATAACACAATGAGGGGCCTCCTTCTGAATGATGAGCCCCCGCTGTGTCCCTGTCATTAAATGTTCTGAAAATAGCCCCTGTTTACCTCATTTGAAACATAGCTAATGTAAAGATTCCTTTCTGTTCTTTAGTAAAGACACAATGGATAAATATGATGAGGCAGATGAACTTGACAACATACCAAGTTTCTCTCTAACTTTTTAAATTGATTTTTTTTTTGTAAAGAGCTTAGTGTGAATTACCTGATATGAGAAATAATAATCATGATTTGCTAATTCTGCTTTCAATGAGAGTAATTAGGGAACATTGACAGAAAAAAGAACGTGACTAAAGGTCATAATGAATATAGCTAGTTACTGCTCATTGTGTGACTCTAGTTAACCCCTGTATTTCACTTCCCAGTTGCTCCTATGTTATTTATTGAGTTTTGCAGACTAAGCAAGACAGCAGCATGTGTCCTTGGCTACACCACTTCATGAGGGCTGGAGTCATGCTTATCTTCTCTATTATTGTACACCTTGCACTAGCAGGCATGGAGTAGGCATTTGAAAGTATTGCTAAGTGAGAGAATGAATGAGAAAGATGCAAGCTAGGAACAGTAGCTATTCTTAAAGAAACGAGAGCCCTCAGAAAATACTTAGGATGTACTTCTATTAGGAAAAATAAAACACATAAATGTACATATAACATGATTTTAACTGTTTAAAGAAAACAATATGCAAACATAAAAACTGATATAGAATTTAAGTACGCCACATTAATGGCGCTTTTCCTACTTCTTTAAAAATGCTCTGTACTTTCTAATTTTTGGTGTTATAAACACCGTGTATTATCTTTATTAAAAAAACTAACATTGAGAACCTAAGCAAAGCATAATTCACTCACATTTCCCTTCTGTAACAAAACACTCAGATCAGAATTGTCATTATTTTCCCTTCAGTGTTTTAATGGAAAGAAGGGCAGAACTTAAAGAGAGAGGGAGAATGAGAAAAGTGAAAAAGAGCAAAGAATGTGTGACTAAGATTGCCAGATTTAAGGCTTACTCTTCAAATCCTTACCACGGAAGTCCCTTAGGGAGTGCTTCTAATGTTTACATCCTGAAATAGCAATTCTTAAAAAGAATGATCTATGGAATAATTTTGAATATTCTGCTTACTGTAAAAGAATATATCAAGAAAAAGTATGAACTTCTCTAGACAGCAATTTTTTAAATACTAAAAATTTCTGTTTTAATTTATTACTAAAGCAATTCACAATCATCAGAGAGAATAAGGTACAAGCAAAGGAAAAAAGTCCCATTATCCTATTGATCAAGAAATAGTTAACGTTAACATGTAGACGTATCCAGAGACTTTTACGAGGGATTATCCACGTACACTTGTGAAATAAGACCGTATCATAAATGCTGTTTTACAATCACTTTTCATTCACTTAACGGTGCATGATAAACTTTTGTCCATGTTGATAAATATACTTCTATGTCATTTTAGTAGCTGTATACTGTTATATATTGATATAAGTAATACTATATAGAGAGACCACAAATGTTATTTAACCAATAACTGCTGGCCATACAAATTATTTTGAATTTTTAAAATATTATATTGCAACAAACTTCCTTATAGCTAAATCCCCAGACAAAAACCCATTTTCATGAAATATATTTCCACAGGTAGAATTTCCAGGTCAAAGTATTCCTTTTTTTATATTTTTTGGTAAGCTGTTTCCCTCCAGGGAAGCTAATGAACCAGTTATATTCTTACCAGCTATATATGCAAATATTTGTTTCCCTTCACTAGGAAGTTCAGTTTATCAGTGGAATGACCAAAAGTTTTCATTCTGAGCGCTAACTCCAATTAAATGGCAAAGAATGGCTGCCTAGAGAAGGACTGTAAGTCCAGGTTCAAGGTCACTGCAAAAGTGGTTCTATGAGTGATGTCTGCCATGACCACAAGGAAGGGAAGTGGTGGTCCACACATTTTTTTCTCTTCTTTTCTTTCTTTTTTTTTTTTTATTTGCTGACCCTGCCTTAGTGGGACAGTCAAAATATCCTTAAAAATTCCTTCTAGAAAGGTCAATACAATAACTGTTTGGCTATTTAATGTTCATGAAATCTAGTATTTTAGATTTATCTTAGTCAAAAATAACACACTGGAGCTGCCATATTCCAGCATATACTCTTTTCTGAGTATATTTAGTAATATGTTGTGACCCCTTTTATAATCAATATATAACATGATATTTTTCTATAGCTGATGGCCTATAATGAAGCAACGGGGTTTGATGGTGCACTGTTTTTGGCTAGAGTTAATTACTTCCCCACAGCTCCAAAGGGATAGGTCAACATGCAGTTTGGCTCCCTCCTCCATCCTCTGCCTACAGTGGGTATACCTGAGGTGGACACCTCTTCAGTGTTGTCAGATTTGGTTCTTGGTGCCGTCTGTTGCTAACCATCATAGAGCTCTTAATTCGATAGCTTAAATCAATAACCATTAATTTCAGAAATTATTGTAGGATTTCCAGCGAAGTTAGCAATAGAGGACACTGACCTGACTATATTAAATAGCAAATGAAAAATGTTCCTCAGCATTGTTAACACTGCATTTTGAACATGCTAAGGTTGAGATTGGTTAAAATGTTCAAGAGATCTCCTACTCTGGTAAGATTATACTTTTCAAAATGCATTCAAGTGCAAGCCAATGCAAAAGGAATGAAGCCTACTGTCATTGAGCTGTTCGCATTTTCTGGTGAGACAGTTTAGATTCTTTAGCCCTGCCCAGCACCTCTCACAAACTGAGATAGCTCAAACCCCAGGGCGATGATTACACTGGGGGTATAATTCCTGAAAAGTGGAGTCAAATCCTAAGCCACGATTTCCTGACCTTGGACTTTGACTATCGCATACTTATCTCTCTTAAACATATACGTGACAGACTTGGGGTTCTTTGCCATGCTCAACTTTGTAACCATCTTGTTCAGAAGGTAGAAACTATGAACCTTCTAAAGAAAACTGGTGACAAAATAGGAGCAGGCAGAGAAAACAGAGATGACAATGGGCAAGAGAGGGAATACCGTGCACAGACTCCAGGTCCAGGTGTACTTGTTTCACTTGGACTGGGTAAGATTTTCCTCCCTTTCTTTGAGAGGACTTCTGTCACTTGCAAATGTGTCAGTCATAACCAAGAAAAGTGAAAAATCATTAAAATAGAAAATGATTCTGGGTTTGGGGTACCAATCTTGACAATAAAGAGCTATGTGACAACACATATAATCTCTCTAGGCTTTGGTTTCATCAACCACAAAATGCAAAGACTGAATTACATTATCCTCAAAGATCTTTTCGGCTCTAAATGAAAAACCATATAATCTAATCCAATGACTTAAAAATGCTTATAGAGATATATTTATTGTATTTTTTTTTTTTTTTGAGACAGAGTCTCGCTTTGTTGCCCTCGCTAGAGTGAGTGCTGTGGCATCAGCCTATCTCACAGCAACCTCAAACTCTTGGGCTCAAGCAATCCTGCCTCAGCCTCCCAAGTAGCTGGGACTACAGGCATGCGCCACCATGCCCGGCTAATTTTTTCTCTATATATATATTTTTAGTTGTCCAGATCATTTCTTTCTATTTTTTTTGGTAGAGATGGGTCTCGCTCTTGTTCAGGCTGGTCTTGAACTCCTCACCTTGAGAGATCCACCCGCCTCGGCCTCCCAGAGTGCTAGGATTACAGGCGTGAGCCACCGCGCCCGGCCTATTTATTGTATTTTAAAATATTTTGTCACATATAAAATTTGGTTTTAAACTACTGGTCTGGAATACACTCTTCAAAAATAACACAATTTCTATGGTTATAAAGGACCTTTAAAATAGTTTTATGATGTGAATTATCAGAACATATAGTATCAATATTTTAATTTTGCATTAAACTACTGTTAGGGACAAAATATAAAGAAAACTGAAATACTTAGAATATGTTCATTAAAATTCAATGTAACTGAACTATTTTTTTCTTCCTTTTCAGATTCTAATTTAATATTACACTGTGAAGTGCACATTTTATCTTTCAAAGCTATTTCACAGTGTTTACACCCTAAAACGTACTGCATATATATATAACAATTGCATAATTATGCAGGATTAAATGAATACTATTTTAATGCAGCAATCATCATTCTGTTTATATTGGGAATATTTCTACTGTAATAAGTACTTCAACCAGTATTTTATTCCCAAAACAGAAGTTAAATATTGTGTAAATTTACCAAACATGTTTATTCAAAATGTCCATCAATGATAATTACTAATCCTTCCACAACTAAGGATTACTCCTAAAATATATATATACATTTTACATTATGTTTTCAATGAATATAGGGCTCATTAAATCAACCTC